AGATCACAACGAAATCTACGGGCACTCCAATTTTTCAGAATTTTTCACTCATTCTTCTGATCGAGAAAAAATCACTGAAGTTGGAGTACTTCTGTTGGCCCACACATGGTAGAGTGACAAAAATGGAAATTTGTACTCCACACTGCCCCTACCGTCTTCACCCGAATAGAACGCCCGGTCATTATAGCTGTATTTGATGCAACTTTCAGTCCACATACGGCCATAATTACCGGGCATTCTCTTCGGGTGAAGACGGTAGCCCCCAGTCACCCAGTGGGTTCTGATCATCCTACTCCCTAGAAACCACAATCCTCGCGAGCCTCAGCAATGAGAAGGGTATCACACCCCTTCCAAGGGTACGACAAACCCCGTACCTCTGACTCGTAGCCCCCCTTCCCCCCCCCCCCCCCCCCCCCCCCCCCCCCCCCCCCCCCCCCCCCCCCCCCCCCCCCCCCCCCCCCCGCCCCCCCCCCCCCCACCCTCGCCCCAAGGACCAGGCACTGCACAGGACAAACCCCATAATGGCCCCCTGGCCCCCCTGGAACAATGCAGGAACCCCCCACCCCCACAGGAATAACTGCTGCCCTGGACAATCTAGGAATCACCCATCTCCCCAAACCAGACAATACCCCGTGAACAACAGGCTCCCTACACCCTCTTCCCCCCCCTGGAATAACCTGGGAAGCACCCTCCCCCCCCCCCCCCCCCCCCCCCCCCCCCCCCCCCTAGGATGCCCCTTAGGAATGACCCCCGTTCTAGTGCAGTTGCCCCCCGTTCTAGTTGCTCCCTGGGAACAAATCTGGCAGTGAGTATCATACAGCTTACGACATTCTCCGACTGCACTAGAACGGGGGGCAACTGCACGGGGAACTGTCATAAGTCACAGCTTTGATGTTTGTTACTGCAGTAAGTCACAGCTTTGATGTTTGTTACTGCAGTAAGTCACAGCTTTGATGTTTGTTACTGCAGTACGTCACAGCTTTGATGTTTGTTACTGCAGTAAGTCACAGCTTTGATGTTTGTTAGTGCAGTCGTTGATCTTCAATCTTACATTTGTTTGAAGAAGGGCCAACTGATTGCAAAGAAGTCTACGAGGGGATACCCACTGCCGAATCAATGACTCTGCCGCTACGTGTCTGGGAGGTCAAGAGAATCCTGCATTTCATGAAGCATCCTTTACTCGAGGCTCTTGGTGTTGTGGGGCCCTAATCCCAGCACAGCACCAACGGCCACAAAGCACTGCACCAACTGCACCAACCTGGTACTGCCAGAATGGTCACAGACACGTACGTTGATGTAACTGTTGATTGGCAGCCAAGAGTTAAAAGTTAAAACCTTGAAAATTGTGCGCTATACGGAAATGTTAGGGGCTCACTGCTATCGGAGAAAGAGGGAGCCTTAAGGCAAAGTTGGTTTTGGGTAGAGTTGCTCGCTTCAGTGCACTTGGGTATCAGGTCATGCGGCTTGCAGTGATACTTCAAAAATGTATAGACCTACTTTCTCTCTAATAAGGTGCTTTCCTTGGTTCCTTTTTGTTTGCTTCAATGTCAAAAAAGCAGCCGGGTGCAGAATCAAGATATCAACAAGCGGCATTGTCTGAATGCACCTGGTTGGGTGCACACTGCACATCCAGATGCGGATCATGCATCTGGCTGTGCACAACCAGAAACAGAGCATCGGGGTACTTCTGCCAATTCCCAAATCCACTCACACACTTCTCGTTTTCAATCTGAGCCTTCCGCAAAGATGCCCACCTTCCACAGACACTTGGCGGCTCCAAGAAACTTCAGTAAGATTTTGCTGGGAAACTGTAGGCACGGCGGCACGCATCCTGTCATAAACCAACAAACATGGCATGCTAGGGAAGTCGGGAACCGAGCAAGTCAAACTGTACACGATCGACAGCCTTAGACCGACCCAGCAGAGACGGCTTCTTCTTGTAAATGAACAAAGTAGGAGCATCTTGCGGACTCAATTCTCTCACAGAGCTTGCACTCAGTCGCCTCCTGTTTCACCATTTCCCTTTCCCTTCCCTGCTCTGGCTCTTCCCTCCCTATTCCTCCCTCTTTCCTCGCTCTTCCCTCTCTCTTCCCTCCCTCCTCCCTCCCTCTTCCCTCCCTCTTCCCTCCCTCTTCCACTCAAATTGTCTTGTCCTCATCCCTCTCCTCCGAGTTCTCCTTACTCCCTCCCATATATATATATATATATCGTCACAAACAGAACTGCCCGGTAAACCGTAGGCATAGAGAGAGAAGAGGACAACAAACGAGGGGCTGTGACTATATATATATATCGTCAAATATATATATATATATATATATCGTCACAAACAGAACTGCCCGGTAAAACCGTAGGCAGAGAGAGAGAAGAGGACAACAAACGAGGGGCTGTGACAAACTGTTTCGTCGGAGTTTCACTGCCCGGTAAACCGTAGGCAGAGAGGGAGAAGAGGACAGCAAACGAGGGGCTGTGACAAACTGTTTCGTCGGAGTTTCACCGACTCATATATATCGTCACAAACAGAAATATATGGGGTTGTAGGGTTTTGAAAGCCCTACAGCCCCTTTTTCCTTTTTTTCAGAATTTGACTTCATTTACGATTTGTAAAAAATAAAAAATGAAAATCGGTTAAAAAGAAGAAAAGAAAAATAAATAAAAGAAAAGCAGGAATATTTTTTTTTCATTTTTCTCATGACTGATATGGAGTTAGAGTCCTAAAAATTTTGCCAAGGTAATTGTTTTTTCTTCTTCTTCTTCTGTGCTGTTTGATTGATTGATTGATTGATTGATCGATTGATTGATTGATTGATTGATTGATTAGGAAAAAAAAAAAAATTGAACGCGCTAGTTTGTGTGTGTGTGTGTGTGTGTGTGTGTGTGTGTGTGTGTGTGTGTGTGTGTGTGTGTGCGTGGGATATATTACGCGCTAGTTTGTGTGTGTGTGTG